CAGTTGAATTTTATATTATAAATGAATGGGGGAAAAATTCACATTCATTGGAAAAGAAATTAACTGAGGATGAGCGCTCGTACAAAACAAAATAAAATCAAGTTCAGTCCTTTGTTTCAGTGTGTGGAAACCCGTTCATGTCTTAAGTCTGTTCAGTGTCCTGTTCAATTCAATGTCTTGTAACCAGTGTAGTTACTAGCTACCACTGAGTTCAGTTCCTTGGGCTCGGGCTCGCCATCCAGTACTGGAGAGGTGTCGATCCTCAGCTACTGCAGAGTAGCTCCGTTTGAATCCTACTAAGACAAAAAACCTGACCTATGGAAAGGCCAGAACACCATAGTTTGATTTCACTATAAACTAATTGTATATAGTCAAAAGCTACTATCGAGCACTTCAAGTTAGTTTCTCAAGTTATACAACATTAACCTTCACATATTCAACATTAACAATTACCATTTGTAACGGAAAGGCCAGAACACCATAGTTTGATTTCACTATAAACTAATTGTATATAGTCAAAAGCTACTATCAAGCACTTCAAGTTAGTTTCTCAATTTATACAACATTAACCTTCACATATTCAACATTAACAATTACCATTTGTAACCATGCATAGTGAATACACACATTCAATGGAAGTAAAATAGCTTCACAAGTACATTGTAAAGTCCTGCTTATCTCATTCCTTTCAAGTGTTACCAAGCACTAGGAGAATCTGATGAAACTCCATGCAAAGTCCAGGCAAAGTGCACTTTTGTACTCTCATTACAGTAGAAACATCAATTATAACCTTATTAGCACCATAGAACATTAACAAATAACTGTACTAACATAACAGCTTAAAACCTTCACAAATCTTGAACAAATCTTCAAGTAACATTCAGGTTACACTAACAGGTAGCTAGTGCTAATTAGCTCGCGGCTAGCGGTATGTAGCATCCAAGCTAATGCATTTCATTCACACACACATATGACTCACCAATGCGGGGTAACATGTGCTAGCAAAACACAAAGGTGTGGGTTCCCAGGTCCCGGCCGGCCCACAACCCTCCTTCAGCTCAAAATCTCTATTCCACAATATTCCCGTTTGCGAGTCTCCAGGGTGTAATTGATGAGTGCGCTCCTGATGACTGTACTGCATTCTGTCTTTTACAGAAATAAATGTGTTGCATTAAGAGTGAGCGGCCCCTCATTCTTTAGCCCTGTAACACTCGCACCGCCACAAACCACTTTTGCAGTTGCACTGGTTTCCTCACCACCACCCAACACCATTCAATAATCCCTTGATAAACCAATTTTTAACCTAGATTTATTAGTCCTTTAATCACTCTGCAAAGTTAATAACTGTATAGTTATTCCAGGTTTGACTGGTGTTTCAGCACTGGGTTACACTAATCTGAAAAGTAGAGAGGGTGTCTGCCTCCCGAACTGAGCCTGGGAGCCAGTATAGAGAAGTCAATGTCAGCAAATGCTTGATCAAGGGGGACGTGTTGGGTTTTCCTCTATAATAAAAATATTAGGGTCTAGACCTGTGTCCTGAGATGACTTTTGTTGTGATTTGGTGCTCTACAAATAAATTTGAATGATCTCGCTTGCCTGTTCCTTTCAGTACTCTGGTTGCAGCATTTTGGATTAACTGGAGGCTTTTTAGGGAATTATTGGGACATTCTGATAGTAAAGAGTTACAGTAGTCCAGCCTGGAAGTAGCAAATGCATGGACTAGTTTTTCAGCATCACTTTGAGACAGGATGTTCCTGATTTTGGTGATATTTTGTAGGTGAAAGAAGGCAGTTCTAGAGACTTGGTTTATGTGTGATTTAAAGGACATTATCCTGCAGGATACTTTGATCATGTAAGTTTGCTGGTCTGTCACTCCCTCTCTTTCTCCCTCGGGAAAGGTTGAGCGAAGCATTGTTAGAGGCTGGCAAGGAGTAACACAGCTGGAGCAAATTTTCTCCATTGATTCAGCTAGTATTTAGCTGTGCCACCCTTGCCAGTCAGTTAGTTGCACTTGCCACGTCCAGACAGCCAGACCCTCTGAGATCCTTTACTGAATGTAAGGGATCCTCACCAGCACTGGAGATAGTTTCTCAGCTGACCTGAACTCTCCGACACTGAGTAGACAGCTCTGTGTAATCCTTGCTGCTGTTAGGTTACACCGCACAGACCACTCCAGCCTGGTTACCTCTACCCACCTGAAGGTCCTCACCACCAGCCTCGGAACTCATGGATTGGCATCGACCCTGCTCCATGCTGCAACAACCCTCTAGGCTGCGCAGACCACTCGAACCCTGCAACCACATCTTACCTGAGACATCTCGCCTCCTCTGGACCCTGCTTCAACCCTGCCACATGAACTCCAGCTGCCTCCACCACTCACCTGGGTCATCTCACTGTAGCCTGGGGTGATTTCCATCTGCAGCGATCCTGCATAAATCCGTGCTTTATTACTTGTAAATAAAACATTTGCATCTTCTGTCTGAGTCTGCTTTAGAGTCTTTCCGCTCTGAACTGGGGCTTCACTGTAAAAGATTATCTTGGGAATTCATTCTCCCCTCCGCAAGCAGTCCAGGTCCAGAGGCAGCAATGCAGTCCCAAATCATGATGCCCCTCTACCATACTTCACTGCTGGAATGATGTTTCCATGTTGGTACACCGTTCTCTTTTCATGCCATACATAATGCTGTGTGTTCTTCCAAGACAATTCTACCTTCGTTTTATCTGTGAACAGCACATTTTCCCAGTAGTGTTGTGGAGTGTCAAGGTGGTCTTTGGTAAACTTAGGCTGCTGCAATGTTATTTTTGGAGAGCAGTGGCTTCATCCATGGTGTCCTGCCATGGATACCATGCCTGTTTGATATTTTGCATATGGTTGACTCATGAACAGAGATGTTAACCAACTCCAATGACTCAAGTCTTTAGCTGTTACTCGAGGGTTCTTTTTTTACTTCACTGTGTGTCTGCATTGTGCCTTTGGAGTGATCCTGGCTGGGCACAGTAGCAAATAATGTCTATTTATAGACAATATGTCTAACTGTGGACTGATCAATATATAGCCTTTGAGATGACTCTGTAACCCTTTCCAGATGCATGCAAATCAACAATTCTTGATCGGTCTTCTGAGATCTCCTTCAGGGACATCAGAAGCCTGGTGCTGCCATCACTTTGCTCAATGTATGTGCTCAATAAGGACATAAAAGGTCCTGACTGGTTGTGTTTTATCTGCTTAGAAACACATGCAGTTGCCAGGGATGGCCAGTAAAGCTACCCACAACGTTAATGGGGAACTCAATTATAAGGCCAGGCGATATAGAGTCAATAAAGTCTCTTTACTGCACTCACTCAGAACATACACAGTGACAGTCCAGAAAATACAATCCAAGTCCAACAACAGTCCAGGGTCAATACCGGCAAACATACATAGCCAAGGGATCCAAAAGAGGGAGGTCCGAGAGAGAAGTCTGAAGGTCGATACACAGATGCAAACAGCTCTAGGAGGGCAAGGCAGTAATCGGTGGTCGAAACAATCCGGAGTGATGAGCTAAAGCTCCCGGCAGTCAGGGTAAGCTGGGGACTAGAAGTAGCATCAAAATAAAAGCATGACAGGAAGCAAACGGGACAGAATCATGACAGCAGTGTTTTTAGCAACTTTAATCTTTTTATTAAAGTTGTTCAAAACATAGGAAGTGTTGCTGGACCTTTTTGCGAATGCGCCAGGCAAGCAACTTACATCAGACAGAATGGGCACCATGTTTCCATCTGGCATCTAGGGTTTATAATACATTTGTGGTTGGGAGGAGGCACTGTATTTACCTGTATACATTCTTGCTTTGCTTGGCTAAAATGTTGCTTAAATTGTTTAGCTCTCACTTTGCTGACTGTGGTAATTCAGAATGGATAACCTTACCTGACTGTAGCTAACCCTTAGTGGACCTAGAGATCCCACTGACAAGAGCAACAGGCTGAAAAATGACTGTGCACCCTGATCTCAGCTCTCAGTTCAGGAGATAACTCTAACTAGCAGCTGTCGGCAGATGACACACACACACTGCAGTTGACTCAATTTCTGTCCTCTCTGTGTTCAAACTGAGCACTAGAGTGAACATTTGGATTTAGTTGAAGCATCCACTACTGTATGTGGCTATATGGGGTAGTTTTTTTTCTTTTTTCTTTTAATTAACTTAGGGGTGTAAAGTTGAAGTCAGAAGTTTACATACATTAGTCAACATTAGTCAAGTACATATAAGCTCAGTTTGTCACTTCTCCTGACACTTAATCCTATAAATCCTATATTCCTAACCCTATAATTCCTATAAATTTAGATCAGTTAGATCACTACTTTAAGAATGTGAAATGTCAGAATTATAGTAGAGAACAAGATTTATTTCAGCTTTTATTTTTTTCATCACATTTGAAACAGATGAGAAGTTTACATACATTCAGTTAGTATTCAGTAGCATTGCCTTGAAACTGGTTAACTTTGCTCAGACATTTCGGGACGCCTTCAACAAGCTTCTTCCAACCAGTTGCTGGAATTTTAGCCCATTCCTCCTGGTGGAACTGGGTCAGGTTTGGAGGCCTCCTTGCTCGCACATGCTTTTTCAGTTCTGCCCACAGATGTTCTATTGGACTGAGGTCAGGGCTTTGTAATGGCCACTCCAGTACCTTGAAGCCATGTTGCCACAACTTTGGAAATCTGCTTGCGGTCATTGTCCATTTAGACTAGACCCATTTGTGACCAGGCTTCCTTCCTCATGATGTGAAGTGCCCCAGTTCACCCTCCCCCCCACAACATAATGCTGCCACCCCCATGCTTCACATTTGGGATGGTGGTCTTTGGCTCGTGGGCCTCTGCCTTTTTCCTCCAGACATAACGATGGTCATTATGGCCAGACAGTTGTGGTGTGAGTTTGCAAGGCGACAGCAGTACGGTGGGTAGAGCAATCATCTCCCAACCAGAAGGTTGAAGGTTCAAATCACGGTGCCTCCAGTCCAGTGTTTGTAGTAATCTTTGCATGACGAAGGGGCTCTATAACATAGAAGAAAAAAAATACAGTACATCAGCCAGTATGTGTTAATAAGATCAGTTCATTGATAGTGTTGGTCTTTTCATACTATGTATTAAGAAAAATGAAGCATTTTATGATAAATAAGTCAGAAAACAACATGAGCATAGTAACATCATACTTTTACAATTAAAATTTTGTGACATGTAGCAATGTACTTTTCTTCACAGATGACAATGGAGAGCTGCAGGCCAACCTGCTTCCTCGCAGCCTGCTGCTGATGCATCGCTGGTACATTACATCCTCAGAACTGGTGGGAAAACTACTGATAATATATCCCATTTGGTAGAATCCTGCGGGAACTACAAATACACAACTACACAGCACTATAACTGTCAGAGACGGGCGTGTGAAGCTCCCGTGGAAGTGTGACCCCATTAAAGAGCCAGTAAGCTGAGGCAGCAGGACAGGATTTAATGTCTTTCTGTAAGATAGACAGAAACAGATGCAGTCTTGAAGGATCAGGCTGAGAACAGTACTTAGTTCAATCTGAGGTTGAAATGTCCGGCAGGGCAGCAGTGAAGGCAAGGCAGAATCGTAGGTCGGTAGAACAGGCAGGGTATCAATATTAGGATAGCAGTCAGGCAGGAGGGAGGAGGGAGGAGGCTGGATCATGGGTCGGTGGAGCAGGCAGGGGTTCGGTACCAGGATAGCAGTCACAAGAAAATAAAGCTGGAGCATCTAGACAGGGCATAGAACAATCTGGCAGCATCTCTTGATGGCTATATACTGTGGTGAGCAGGTGAGAGCAATGTGCATGATGAGATAAAGTTACCGGGAGTTAGGGTGGGCTGGAGACAGGAAAAGTTGTCAGAATAAAAGCAGGACTGGAAGTGGACAGGGTAGGATCATGACAATAACAAGATGGTGAAAAACTACTGCGTTTTGTATTTCAGCTGCTAAAGATCTGAACTTTAGTGATGAATTAAATAAATTATCCTTCACCTTATGGGAATTCTAATCAATCCATTTGAATATGTTTTTAATTTTCCACTGTCACCAGGTGCCTGCTCATGGTTTGTTTTTTGTATAATACTGTAAGTGTAAGTAAGTACCTTACTATATAAAGTGGCTTGAGAGATTTTTTTTATGATTTGGAGCAATATAAAGACAATTTAATTGAATTAAATCAGGCTGACAATAAGGTCTAGACCTCCAGCAGACTAGTTTATACAAAATGTTGTTCTGCACTATCTCTCACTCTCACTCGGCCCTGAGGTGAAAAGGCTGCTTTGGAGTCTGTTTTGAAAAGTTATAAAAATAGCTAGACATTCTACATGGATGAGGACTTTGGGCTGAGCTTGTAGACCATAGAGTAGTGGCTGTACAGTCAGCAGAGATGATCGTGAATGATAGGAGAGGATAGGTCCTTGTTCGTCAGCCACAGCAGCAAATTCAGAATTTAAAGTGTGATTATTTGTTGCCTTAATAACATAGTACACACATGCACTACAGTGCATGTTAAAATCTTGGAAGAAGGCCTTAACTTAACCCCACGTACCGTGACTGCGAAGATGACAACTGCCAGAGAACCAGGCTGAAGATATGTCATTTCATGAGGTAAGGTGCTACATACACATTCATCGATCCCAACACAAACTTTTCGCACTGGAGTTTCACACTTAAGGCTGTGGTTATTTTTCATCCTCACCGTGACCACTGTCTATGTGCCCAGTAAAATTTGACAATGATTGTTTAGTTGCCTTTGCACTGTTACTAACCCCATCTTTTAAAAACAACACTTCTCCAAAGCCGTCACAGTTCCAAGCTGTTGGAAACTTCCTACACCGTACATAATACAGTACCACAACACAGGGACATCAGTCATATGTCACATTCACAACAACAGTCATTATATACATGGAAAGTTTTTTGGAGCTGAAGTTAAATGATTTCCAATTTATCACAAGTTCATCTTTTCGGTATCAAAATATTTGCTGAACTTTCTAATGTGAATGTGTGTATTCAGGTACTGGATAGTAACATTCCCTGCTGAGTTCAACCTGGACCTGGGTTTAATCAGGGCAACAGAAGAGTTCAGAGATGTGGCTGCTCAGCTTGGCTGTGAGGAGCATTTCAAACTCATCGACATTTCCACCATGTAAGACATCAAATGCATGCAAATACAACTGTACAATCAAGTATAGTGGTAAGAAAATAACTTAACATTAACATTAGTTAATTCCATTTCCAATCATACGCCTGAACCAAAATCCTGACCTAAATATCTAAATGACACCATCATGAGTGAGTGGTGAAACAAAAGGACACATATATGTCAACTGTAAGCACAAAATCACAGGACCAAGAAGATAAAAAACTTACAAAGATCAAACAATTTCATTCAGCTTTTAGTCTGTGACCTACAAAAGGTTTATGTGACACATTTCTACCATATTATAAAGCATACCATTGCACAATGATATGTTTAGATAAGCAAATAACCTTATATTTAAATTTAAAATCACACCAAACATGCTTTGAAAATAGACTGGATTATTTACTAGTGACTGTAAGGCTATTTGACTTAATTTAAAAATGTTCCTTGCCTTCTTGTTAAAGTATGGGTTATGCTTTTTAAAAACAATGGAGATATCTGCAATACAATTCTCAGAATAATTATCAGTAACCCAGAACCCCTCTCTGGTATCATGCCTCTACAGCAACGATTATGAAAAGTCAGAGAATCACCACAATCCCTGAGACTCATCCTCTGGGGATCATGAACATCTGTACCATTTTTTTAATCCATCATATAGATATTTTACCAGATGTGTGAAAACTTTGCCGAGCTGGTGGGATAGAGGAAAAGTCAGAGGTTCGCAAGAATCAGTGAGATTCATCCACTGGAGACCATGAATGTCTGTACTGGATTTAATGGCAATCCATCCTACAGTTGGTGAAACATCTCTCTCTCAAAAAAAAGTTATCCTTATGGTGGCATTAGAGGAAAAGCCAGGGGATTACTACTGGGGAATATGAAAATTTCCAGAGTTGAGGTATTTCATTCTGGACCTAAGTGGTAGAAACAACACCGCCATGACAGCTCGAGCCAGAGGACAGATGGTTACTTGCAGTGGTAGTCCAGTGGTTAGCATGAATGACTTTTAACTTGAAGGCTGTAGATTTGAGACCTGTTTGGGATAAACTTTTTTTTTATTATTTATCAAATTTAAGTTATTTTATCTTGTTATAGAACTTGGGGTAGCTGGAAATTCAGGCTTATTTTAAGAAATCTTATCCGGAAAAATGCCACAGTGCCAGCCAAACACTTAAATTTGATCAGGGGCTGTAAATTTCTAGAATAAATGAGCTTATTGTTAATAAATCGCTCTCCTTGTAGTCCGTCGTACGACTGGATGCGTCAGCTGACCCAGAGGAAGAAGCAGGCTAAGAAAGGCAAGGCCTCGCTGCTGTTTGACCACCTGGAGCCCATGGAGCTGGCTGAGCACCTCACCTTCCTAGAGTTCAAGTCCACCAGGAGGATCTCGGTATGTCTGCAAACAGCTTTACTTTTGAACAGTTGGCAATGTTTTTATTTTTCCTAGCAGTCTAACACTGTGGCTCACAGGCCGGCCTGTCCTTCAGTTAGTCTGTCCACAGTTTTGGTCCAGAGTGAAATACTTCTGTAGTTATTAAATAGATTGCCTCCAGTCTATGTTCATGCCTTCCAGAGGATGAATCCTACTTGTCCTCCAGCTCCAATATAAGGTGGACATTATTAATTATGACAGTTAGATGAAATTTCATGAAAGTTGTTACAGATATTTGCCTCAGAACTGCAACAGTTTTGGTGATCTTTTGACTTTCATCTAGGTCACTCATCAAGGTCAAGATTTCAGTTTGGTTTATTACCAAATTCCTGCCAAATAGTACATGATAAACTAAAATACAAAACTAAAACTAATTTTAACATATTCAAATAAATTAATTCTGCACACAACCAAGATGGTGGCATCTGACAGGGGCACATTCTTCCATTAAAAGTGGAATTTATAAGAAATAAGAATTTATGATATTTTGTAACTAACATTTTAAAGCCCAGTACAATTCACTTCCTGAACTGGGGGAATTATGTGCATCATGAAAAAAAAGTCCCTTATGGGAATTTAAACACCTGCTGTTGAGTACTGATGTAAAACTATCTGACCTCTGGGTGAACTGCCTTGTTTCCAGTGGCCAAGTGGTTAATAGGTAACAACATCAGCAAAAAGACCAAAGAGTGTAATCAGGTAGTTACTGGAAGTGGAATAAAAGCACAAGTGTGTGCATGAGTGTTTGTCCTAGAAATATAATTTCACAAGTATACCGTACATAAACACTCGCATTCATCTGCACATGGCCAGAGGCTGACTTCTAAAGATACAAGATTGGCACAATATAATTCAGGAACTGAGTGACAAAGGGATGTGTGCGAACACTTGATCCTCTTCTCGTGCTGCCATCAGGCTAAATTTCCAGTTGCACATATGAAAAACTCCTTGGCAGATTGCTATGAAATGTACATCAGTTCTTCTAAGGGAATGAAATATTTAATGTTTGAAATTCAATTAACTTTCCTCAAGCATTCTTGTCAGGTCAAAATATCAACTTGCATACAAGATCTAAAATCTAGCAGGCCACAATATTTAAAAAGCTCTCAAAAGGACGAATCTTGTGAATGTTGACAATACCACAGCTTATCCTAAACCATCACCTTCAGCACTTGTTATTGTTAAGCCACTAAGAAAAGCAAAGTTATTAGTATGACAGTTGTGCTATCTTTCTGTTGTTAACTGTAATAACCACTGCAGGCTTTAGGGGCCTCTGGAGCCTAAGAATCACACAGGACCCTGTAGATTAGATTGAACTGACATCTGATCTGTAATTCCCTTTTGGTCCCCAGTTCACTGATTACCAGAGCTACGTGATCCATGGCAGCCTCGTGGACAATCCGACTCTGGAGCGCTCCATTGCTTTGTTCAATGGAATCTCTCAGTGGGTGCAGCTCATGGTGCTAAGCAAACTAACACCTCAGACACGAGCAGAGGTCATCACCAAATACATCCACGTGGCACAGGTAAAACAGAGGCTGCTGTTTCTGAAACAAAGAGAAAGAGAAGAAGGTCATTTTCCTGAATGAGTGGGAGTTCCAAAAAATATACAACACCCCAAATATTAATATAGCTAGTCAGTTAACATTAAATCTTGGCGTCTCTGCTGGCCTGTTCCTAGACAGTAAATATGAGTACAGTGTCCTTATGAAATGTGGGTAGGAGGTAGCTATGACTGAACTGGCAGCCCTGCACATCCTGTCCCAAACTCCCTTGCCAGTCAAAAACAGAAGTTTCCTGCCTTTTTCTCATAGTTTCAGTCTTTTATTGTTGGCTATTTAATTATGTAAATGTTGTAGCATAATATTAGCTGCACTGTACTGAAATATAAAAATATTTCTGTTCAGGAATGAGCACCACTAGCAATTTTTTACTAAGTTGCAGAGCAGTGCAATCATACATTAGCCTTGAAGAACAAATATTTTTTCAGCACATCCCACAATGTTGCTATATCAACTGCAAGGTTTAGCTGTTTCAATTTGGCTGTTTATTCTAAGCTAAGCTAATCACTGCTAACTCCAGTGTCATATTTAGTGTACAGACATGAGAGTGGCATTGATGTTCTCACCTAAACTTCCAGAGAAAGTGAAGGTTTACTTACCACTATTTATTACTACACCACTGGAGCGGGTTCTGCACTACAGAAACAATCACAGTCCTTTTTTCTAGAACAGCATGAGACTAGACATGGAACATGTTTGACTAGGTCAGTCATAGGGCAGTGGTGCAGTGGTTAGCACTGCCACCTCACAGCAAGGGCTCAAATCCAGACTGGGGCCTTTCTGTGTGGACTTTACATGTTCTCTCTGTGTCTGTGTGGCTTCCTCCCACAGTCCAAAGACATGCAGGTTGTGTTGACAGGTAACTCTAAATTGCCTGTAGGTGTGAGTGTGGGTGGTTGTGTGTCTCTATGTGTTGGCCCTGTGGTAGACTGGTGACCTGTGCAGGGTGGACCCCGTCTCTTGCCCAGTGTCAGCTGGGATTGGCTTTACAACCCAAAGTGAACCTCTACGGGATAATTGGTATAGATGATTAATAGACAAAAGAGAAAATCTGAAAACATTAATTTTCCTCATCAGAAACTTCTGCAGCTGCAGAACTTCAACACCCTGATGGCAGTGGTTGGAGGGCTGAGCCACAGCTCCATTTCTCGACTTAAGGAGACTCATTTTTATCTGGCTCCAGAAGTTGTGAAGGTAAGTCAATACCTGCCTTTTAATGCACATTATATTATTCTGCACGCAGAATAAAGCACCCTATGGTACAAAAACAAAATAAGCACAGTGTGGTTGTAAGAGATCCAGCAGTGATGTTTTTGTAGGTCAGCTTCAGTCAGGTTTGTGATGCTGTGATGGCTGAAATTTTTTTTAATGACCAAATAACCTTGAATGCCGCATGTAGAGATAAACTCAGCATGGGCTGTATTCCTCAATTGTTATGAACTACCACATACTCAGGAGCTTCTCTTCTGAGGTATAAGCAAGTTTTGTGTAATCCGTTTAAAAATTTAATAACTCTGAATAGCGAAGCTGGACACAAACTCATGTTTACCAACAAACCAGCCTGCACAGACTAACAGTCAGTCAGCTGTAAGTTCTGCATGGAGATTCACTTCAATTCGATTCCATTTTATTTGTCTAGCGCCAAATCACAACAAAACTCATATCAGGACACTTTACATAATAAGGTCTAGACCTCACAGTATTATAGAGAAAAACCCATCGAACCTCTCTTGAGCAGCACTTGGTGACAGCAGAGAGGAAAAATTCGCTTTAATGGAAGAAACCTCCAACAGACCCCAGCTCTTGGTGCGCAGCCTTCTGCCTCGACCGGTTGGGGTGAGTGGATAGAGGAGAGAGAGAAGAAAAGCAACAAGACACAACAAACACAACATCAAACAATCAAACACTGGGCAGGTTGATGTGGCTGGTGACTGCTCATCAGAGACGCAGAGCTCCAGAGACAGGGCAACCTGTAGAAAGGTACAGGGAGAGAGAGGAGACACATGGTTAGTGACATAAATACATGGAGAGGGGAGGGGAGGAAAAGGTAGAGGAGCTCAGAGCATGATGGAGGACCCCAGCCTAGGCCTATAACTAAGGGCTGGTACGTCAAATCAAACCTATCCTACAACCCTTAATCAGAAAAAGTTGGTACAATATGTAAAATTACAATTAAAATTGAAAATAGTGATGTGTAAATCCTCTGTGTCCTGTATGACATTGAAAACATAGCAGCCCATTAGTTGATCAATTTTATTCTTTGTTCAAAATAAACAGTCACTTCAATTCTGATGCTGCAACACATTGCAGACAAAGTTGGGACAGTGAAGCATGTGATGTTGTCGTTCCTTTTCACAACACTTAAAAGTCATACAGGGACTGAGGACACCAAGGGATTCATTGTGTCAGGTGTCATTTTGTCCCATTCTTCCTGCAAACAAGTCTTAAGGTGCACAACAGTCCTGGGTCTTCATTGACCCAAGTTGCTTTTCAACATGTACCAAACATTCTCTACTGGGGACAGCAAATGTTTACACCTCAGTGCATCTCATAGAGATGAGGCATTCTGTTCTGCCCAGTCAACCAGTGTCCTGTGAGACTGTGTTCCTCTTTAAAGTGTAACAGCCACAAGAGTAGAGGAACTGAGTATGAATTATCAGGTGCAGAAGATAATGCAAGACTTAATATTCTGTGCCAGCTGTTCATCTGTTACTGTTTATATTAGTTAGTTAGTTGGTTATCAGTGTCATGTAACAAAATAACCTTTGAAACATGAAAAAAAAGCCATCATCAATGTAAATTGATGTACAAAAATACATGTACAAAGAGTAAAATACATTACAGTAGAGGACTATATCCAAAAGAATGTCAGATATGTTTTGAACTAAATGTTTGATGTACTAATACACCCATCATAAACACCACTGTAGTGAACAGAAACCAAACAAATTACACACACAGGAGACAATAGAAATTAAACAGAAATTGTGTGTGTCCCATACTATTATCCTGCCCCTACCTACTGTATCTGCATGGGTTTCACAGCTTGGCTATCTAGTGCTTTTACATTACACCAGCAGAGTTTTTGCAGTAGCTGTTTCACACCTACTTGCTGCTTTCCTGTTTGTCTTTTATTTTCACACAATTCTTTATGTCAGTACCATTTAGTCTGGCAGTTAGTTAATTTCAGGCATTTGCATGTACAACCCCAAATCAGAAAAACTTAAGACATTCTGTAAAATCAAAATTAAAACTGAAAGTAGTGACACGTAAATCATCTGTATTCTGTATGACTTGGAAACACAGCAGCATATTATTTGATGTAACGCCATCAGTTTTATTCTTTGTTCACAATAAACACTCATTTCAATCCTGATGTTGCAACATATTCCAACAAAATTGGGACAACAAAGGGTTTACCACAGTGTGATGCTGCTGTTCCTTTTCACAACACTTAAAAGCTGTTTAGGGACTGAGGACACCAAGTGATTCATTGTGTCAGGTGTCATTTTGTCCCATTCTTCCTGTAAACAAGTCTTAAGGTCCACAACAGTCCTGGGTCTTCATTGACCCAATTTGCTTTTCAACATGTGCCACACATTCTCTACTGGGGACAGGTGGGGACTGCAGACAGACCAGTCCAGCACTCACGTCATTTTGGCCAATTCTTTCTGCAAGCAAGTCTTAAGGTCCACAACAGTCCTGGGTCTTCATTGATGCAATTTGCATTTCAACATGTGCCACACATTCTCTACTGGGGACAGGTGAGGACTGCAGACAGGCCAGTCCAGTACTCACAGCCAGGCCTTGGTAATGTGGCAGTGTGAGGTTTTGAATTGTCTTGCTGAAATATGCATGGGTGTCCCTGGAAAAGATGTTGTCTTGAAGGCAGTATGTGCTGTCTATTCCTTCCAAAAATGACCTGAAATCCTGATTCGTCTGACCACAGTACACGTTTCCACTGTGTGATGGTCCATCCCAGATGCCTCTGAGCTCAGAGCAGTCGACTTCTGGACACTGTTGACATAGGGCTTCCTTTTGGCACAGTACAGTTTTAAGCAGCATTTATGGATGTAACTACATATTGTAGTGCCTGACACAGGTGAGCCAAAGTCATCCTGAGCCCATGTGGTTATATCACTTATAGAAGGGCCTTTACATACTGAAATCCCTCCAGACTCCTTGAATCTTTTAATGATGTTCTGCACCGTAGAGGGTGACAGATCCAAATCCCTTCCTATCTTTTTTTGAGGAACATTGTTTTTAAACATTTCAATAATTTTCTCACTCATATGTTGTCAAACTGGTGGTCCTCGGCCCATCTTTGCTCCTAAAGGGCTCGGCCTTTCCTGGATGCCACTGTTGTACCAAATCATGATGCAGTCACCTGTTGACATCACCTGTTTCAAATGGGATCATCATTTCATTGTTTTACCTCGTTACTGGCCCTGAAATGTAACCGACCCAACTTTGTTTGGAATGTGTTGCAGCATCAGGATTGAAGTCAGTGTTTATTTTGAACAAAGAATAAAGTTGATGAGGGATCACATCAAATAATGTGCTGCTGTAATGTTTTCAGTGTAATACAGGGCACGTGATTTACAAATCACTATTTTCAGTTTTAATTTTGATTTTACATACCATCACAACTTTTTCTGATTAGAGGTTGTAGGATAGGTTTGATTTGATGTACCATCCCTTAGTTAGGCGTAGGCTGGGGTCCTCCATCATACTCCTCTCCTCCTTTCACTACCTTCTCCTCCCCTCCCCTCTCCATGTATTTATGTCACTAATTGTGTGTCTCCTCTCTCTCCCGTAGTGTATTCTCTCTGCTGTCCCTTAATTTCATAGACACCACTACATGGGTATAAATGAAGGCCATCCTGTTGACTACAAACCACTGATGCAAAAAGTCTAAATGCTTCAAGCTGTAGTTCACCTAAGAAAGACAATACAAGTTAGTATGAATGCAGAGACTTTATTTGATATAAACCTTTGCATTGACATTGGTAATTAGAAAGAGGGACAGAGCCTTATGTAATGTATATCAGCCAAAAACGAGCCACTGAGTTCTTGACTCTGGTGATGGCAGTCTAATCCAGTCTACTTCCTTTTGATGCTCTTCTGTATGGTGGACATGGTGTTATCATATGCCCCAGCTGACACTCTGTTTAGTAAAACCATGACTGGAAATTACACATCACGTGAATTGCTTTTTCTGACCTGATGTTTTTGTTTTGGCCATGATACTTCTAAATCTTCCACTCCTTGCTTCAGATCTGGAGCGAGATGACCGAGCTGGTCTCTTCCAGTAACAACTACTCCTGCTACCGAAAGGTCTTCAGCGAGTGCCAGGGCTTTAAAATCCCCATCCTGGGTGTGCATCTCAAGGACCTAATCGCAGTGCATGTGGTGTTTCCTGACTGGGTTGATGACGGTAATAAGGTGAACCTGGTGAAGATGCATCAGCTTTACATGACCTTCAATGAGCTGGTGTCATTGCAGAGTGCAGTGGCCCAAGTGGAGCCCAACATGGACCTCATTTACCTGCTAACGGTGAGGGATTATCACTGCACAGTGCACTAAACATTTACGGTTTGAAGTGAACAAGTGTTACTGGCCAATTAAGTACAAGGAATATGCCATAAGTATCAAAGTTTACAAAACACAGTTGGCTTTTCTCTCCTTTCTGTCTCTTCATCACTTCATCATTAATCAGTTATCATAGCTCCTTCCCTGAGTAGTTGGTACTTTGGCTCTTTCCTACTGAATTGAATGGGAAAGTGTGCCCAAAGTTTGGACTGGTAGTGTATGAGTGGAATCACAAATATTACATTAAATGAAAACTTACTATCTATCAATGGTACAATAATTTTTTAACTAATTATACCAAACATCTTTGTATTTTTCAGCTTTCTTTAGACCTTTATTACACAGAAGATGAGATTTATGAGCTGTCATTGCTAAGGGAACCACGTAACCCCAAATCATTGGTAAGCTCCAGCTGAAATGTTTGCATTTTGTGGTCAGACTGTGTGTGTCTAACTTTTTATGCTGAAAGGTTTTAACCATATAAAAGACCCTTTTGCACTGCACCATAATACTTCTTTTTCACAACTTTGAAATGATAATGATGATAATCACTTTTATTGGCCAAAGGACGACCACTCTACCTCCTGTGTCTTTTAGCACACAGCAGCAAGAAAAAACAAGTTGATTTCTTGCCAATGATCCTGTCGTGGTGCCACATATGGCTGCCTTGGTCACGCTCTCGCTCATGTATTTGTTGTTTTTCCTCATTTTCTCGGTCTTCTGCAACCCATCCCAGATTATTTTCACCAGAAAAGAACTACTAAACATCAGAAAACTCACTCCAAACATCCTTTCTCTGATTTTTCATCATGCAAAAAGCTGAGTGGACATTCTGGTTGGAGGGGCAGCAGCCCTCTTAAAGCTGTGAAGCCTGTGGTCAAAACACTGAAGGGATAGACTGAGCAGGCAAAGTCAGAGCTACAGGGCTGATTTGACTGCACTGATTGGAGTGTATTTGAGGCTGCGTTTATAGACCTGGATGAACTCACTGACACTGTGACATCATACATCAGCTTTTATGAGGATGTGTGTGTCCACCAAGTCCTTCTGCACATAGAACAACAATAAGCCCTGGTTCACACTAAAACTCAAGTAGCTTTATAATACCAAAGAGGAGGCCTACAGAAGTGGGGACAGGATCCTGTATAGGCAGGCCAGGAACACACTGACAAGGGAAATCAGTGTTAGGTATTTTTCCAGTCCTGAATCACATCACAGTCAGCCATCATGAGAAAATTAATATGCCACACGTGACGCTGTCCGTTTATGAGAGACTCTTGGCCCGGTGGAAACTGATCAAATTGTGAAGCTTCTACAGCAGGCTAACCCCTGCTGCGCACAATTTCTGGGGGTTAATTCCCAATCAATTCCACCGTTTTATCTCAACAGGACAAGCAATCACCCTAAACTGATGCAATTTTTCCCACTAATCCTATTTCCCACCCGGAGTCTTACACTGCTGTACAAGGCACGTTAACTCCACAACGAATTCTCACAATGAACCTATTGTCCAGCGTGATACACTTGTGGAAAAACGTTTTAATTAGCCTTTTGTACAGTTATCCCACCCACACATTGAGAACAGCAAAACTTTCCCTGTGCCTGTTATCACATGTGTGTAATGTATCAGAGAG